CTAAATTGGCATATGCGTGTAGCGTGTTCATTATATACTCGAAAAACTATTAATGACTTTTCGACGAATCAAGTTTTAAATAATGCGATGTAAATGACAGAAAAGGCATTAACGTGTCATAGCTTGTCTGTAAGAGCGAAAAGTTGATTGGCTAGCGCGTTGCATCTTGTGTGCAAGAGTTCTCAGATGTGCTGTTGCAACGCGCGCGCGCGCGTAAGGCGATAAATCTTCATCGAGAAAAGCATGCAGATTCGAATATAAAGCCCGCGCCGCAACGCGTGGTTCACTTTTCATGCGAAACTTGATACAAAATAGGTTGTATCCGTCCTCGACGAGATACGTATATAACCGCGTGGCGCGCACCCCTGTCATTCCGGGCGCGGGGCCGGGTGTATAAGAAGTTAGGAGCGAAGAGGGGTAGAGAAGAACGACGGAAGAAAGACCGCTATGATTTATTATCCCCCGCAAATTCTGTTTCTCCTCCGTGCACGCCAACTGCGTTCGCGTTCATCCATCTTTTTCCCTTTCACGGCTCACCGAGCAACTCTCCCCTCGTCCCATCCCGCGCTTGCTCTCGTCGGATCGTCTCTCCCTTCGCTCGTCCTCTTTGTTCCGCGCCATCTCTCAAAGTGACTGACTGCCTCCTTTATTATCCGCTTGTCAGCATTTTTACACTTTTATCCGAAGCTCTCCCGGCTCTCTATTGTTCCCGCGGCGAATTCGTACGGTCACAATACGGTCTTGAAGGACTTCAACATGCGGATCATTGTCACGGTGTCGTCGGTTCTCTTGTCATTTGACAGTGTACTGTAGTTTAGAACGGCCGCGATATTCAATGCGCCGAATCGACCGAATCGACCGAAAATGGATCGGCGAATAACGAGGTTCATATTTCTCAGGTAGCCGTTAATACGAATATCTTGAAGAGAAAGCAAGGCACTTTGTGACTTGCGGGTAAAAAAGGGAACTCTATAATTTTCTATAAACTGAATGATACAGAAAATTGATTTAAATTTTTTTCGTTCTCTATCTTTAATTTTCTCACTATACTTTAACTTCACATTTTAATGATATCGTGTGATTTTTTAAATTTTCTTACATAAATTTTAAATCCAGATTTCAAATTTTTAAAAGACAAACGGAAAATGGAGAGAGGTCACTTTCTATATAAACCGAAACGAACGATTTGCGCAAAAAAGTAACTTGTTTCTTAGGCTATAATAGTAGAAAGTTCTTACAAATCTATCTTTTCTCACGTTGTAATTTAATGGAGAGATAGACTTCAATGACGGATAATTTGTCCCGGCTTATTTATTGTTGCTTGCCAAAGTACATTTTACGAGACAATATATCTATTAGTTCTTTTGTTGTCTATCGTTTTATGAGGCTTATATTTTTCTATTAAATATATGATATTTATATAGTGATTTCACTGTCTTCCATCTTCCTGGTAAACATCAATGTCTTCACACTTTATTGACAAAGGCACCGAACATCATCGCCTTGTCACAACAAATTGTGCGGGGGGTCTGAACCCTGGCTATTGCAGTATTTATTTTACACAAGTCAGGTATCTGTGTACCGAATGGTGTGTAGTTGTTTCTAGAAACACATTTTTCAATGCGTCATCTATTTGAAAGTAATAAATGCATTGTGTTACGAAAAATATTTTTTGTTAGGAGAAGTTGAAAAAATCTAAGTAAACGGTTTTGTGCCGTATAAGTAAAAATTTAAAGAACACGTCAGCCTCAGATATTGCAAATAACATTTATTACGCGTTACATAACAAAATGAATTACACGCCAAATATCGCAAGAAGAAGAAAAACATCTCGTTTGTGTAAGAACAATTAACCATGTTTTAAATAGTAGTACTATAACTTTGATATATTGCGGTCCCTGATAAAGCATTGCTCAGAGTATAACAATGATTCGATCGCGCAAAAAGATCTTGTCAACATAATTTATAGTGCTGCTAAAGTACAATGCCACACATCCAATGCAACTGTGAACGTTGTAATCTTCACGAATGTACTTAATGTCGGAATTTACTCGGTAAATATTGTTTATAATAGGAGCGCAACACACGCATATATACGCATATATACACAGATGCCAAATATCGGATTGAATCCGTTATCGAGACGACCGTCGGCTCTAAATGTTCGAAGAAAGGCATGAGAAGCCGACATGAGATGAAAGAGAACTATATTAGCCGTAAACTCATCTGTCAGTGTCAAGACGTCAAAGAATTGCCTTAGGGATATTAGTGGCGCCATAACAACCGACAGTTTACGCTGAAGCTTTATTTCTCTTCTGAAAAACTGAGGTACAAAGAGAGGTACGGAATTGATATTGAATGAAACGGAAATATGTGCGATCCTATAATGATTAATATAATTATAAAAATAGAAAGAGAGGCGCTCATACGTACAAAATCGTAATACGAATCTCTCTATGGAACCTATGATTTCTAATTAATTTATTAATTTTTACTTCTAATTAATTTATTAATTTTCAAAATAGATTTATTATCATTTTTGACACGTAATAAAGTTTTTTTCGTATTTTATTCCTCTTCTCAAATAATCTGATGAAATGTAACAATAATTTCATTAAATGTTTCATTATGCAAGAGATATAAAGAAGAGAAATATGGATGGAGATCTTTAAATTATTAATAGAAATTTTCTTTTTTATGATCGCGAAGGTAGAAAAGATTTATTATAATTATTGGCATATTTTTTTAATGTATTATATTATCTATATGCTGATTCTCAAACAGCCATCAAATATGTGTTTATAACGGTATCTACGTTAAATATTTTATAATATGAAAAAGATAAAGAGAGAGTACTTTTTTAATTTGACAAGTAGATGGAATTTAATAATTTTTACGATTACCAAAATAAAAAAAAATCAATGATCTTGCGACATGAGGCAAAACTAATATTACATCACAAATGCAATGAAAATTATTTCTCGAAGCAAACAAAAGTAACATCATATCGTCATACATCGTGGATTTCTATTTTCACGGCTTATATATTATAATAGTTAATGATACCGAGAATGTTATAATGAATTCCAGTGTAAATTACAGTCGACATACCTATATGCATTTCTCAGATACTGTTCGGTTGCATTCCTGCGCGAA